TACAGTTAACCAGGCTTTGTAGTGGTTTGTTCAGAACTGTAGTTCTGGTTAAGTAACCATTAATTATGTCCTTTCAGCTACAATGACATACATTTTTGAAATACCTCTACTGTAGCTAAATGTGGCATTTGTAATAGACATAGCCAAAGTTAATTTTGTGATAGAAGTAGCCAAAGTTAATTTTAGGATCAGTTAGGACAGCTAATGTTTGTAACGGGCATGGGTTCAATTACATGATGATGTAATTAAATAAATTTAAATTATGTTATGAAAATGGCATTTCCATTACAGGTATTTTCAAAATAATTAGATTACCATTACATGACGGTCCAATGTAATTAATTAAATTACACAATCTCTGTATGACCATGGTCGAGATATTATTATTTTGCTAGCTATCCATCGCTTAATAATTTGACAGTCCTGAACGTCAAAATAAGTAATTACAGTATATTTAATATAGACTCCTATTGGGAAGTTCAAGACTATAAGCTTATACAGAAGTGTATATTTCTTGCACATAATCATAGCAATAATGAAATATAGTTATTTATTTCCCTTACTCTCTTTCAGGAGGTGGATGTCCCTGAAGAAATGAAATCTGGAATGGTAGAAGGTATCTCTATTGATTCTTCTAACTTGGAATTGGCTATTATGACCAACAATGGATTTGAGGACCTTATGGTGGAGAAAAACGTCCTTCTTTCCGGCCTCCAATTAGATGTTGAAGATGATTATTCACTTGAGGAGATGCTAACAACCATGTTGCCTTTTAAGGTCACAGTACTCTCTAAAGGCGGCAATATATTTACCATCACGAAAGAAGAATCAACAAATGGCAGAAACTTAAAAAATGTGGAAAAGATCTTTGTATACTGCATTTGTAGTAAATTTGTATACAATCTTCAATTTACTTGAGTAGAAAGATTCACTAGTTATACCAAGTTTGTGTAGAAAGGATCACTGTATACTGAGTTTGTAGTGTACATAGAAAGGTTTACTTATTTATTTTTTTTTCTGAGTTTAGTGTATACAATATATATAAAAAAAACTTTTTGTAGAAAAGATCACCACATACTGAGTTTGTTGTTTACAAATGTGTAGAAAAGATCGCTGTATACCAAGTTTATGGTTTACAACTGTCTAGAAAAATCACTGCATACTGAACATATTACAACTTCTGTTTAAAACCTTCATTTAAGCTTAGGCATGTATTTTTTTTTTTTTATTCATCTTAAAAGTCCACCTACAACAATTTTGTGTATGCAGTCTTGTACTAGGATATTGACATGACAAGATTACATTGCTGATCAAAGCATGGAAAGAATACTGTATCTAAAAACTGAATAAAACAAGATATAAGCATCTTTATCATGTTTTTATTATTATTATTATTTTTCAATGATGTCTGTCCACATGGAATTTGTAAGCACTCTTGTGCATTCTTATACCACCAAAAGGTGGGTAAACTGGAACCAGGTTGTCTATCCGTCCATCCATCTGTTTGTCTGTCTGTAGACACATCTTGTCTGGACAACTCAAATGAAACTTTACAGTAATATTCGGGACAATGTGTAGATGTGCATGCACCATTTTCTCTCGAAATATTGATTGCCATGGCAACTGGTCAATATAGACAGGTTTTGCATGTTGGTCAACTTCCAAACCTGTGGACCAATTTCAACAAAACTTCGCAGGAGTGTCAGGGAATATGTGCACATGCCGCTGTGTTTCAGAGGATGTTTCTGTGCAAAAGGTCACCATGGGGAGATAAGTAAGGCTGTGGGTGTTGGGGGTATTAGTTATCATTTGGATTACAGTTTCAGTTATCCCTGGGCAATGTGGAGAGGATATAGTAATGATTTTGAGGATTGAATGTAGAGGTCACAGTACTTGCATAAGTACAATATGATTACCTTGTAAACGAATTGAGACTAAAACAGTTAGTATAACTCAATCAAATTTGGAACATGTATCCCTTGTGAGGAGAATTCGGTTTCTTAAGAAATTCAGGGTCAGATGTCCGAGATCAAGGTCACAGTCAAAAAACGGATAGTTGCATGGGTGTGTTTTCCTTTGCATTACCCTCATTCTTCTTTCAAATTTCACAACCTAAAAGATATTCACATCTTGCAAATTTCAAGGTTCATGGTCACTGTAAGGATGTTTAAAAAATGATAATATAAGAGGAATAAAGTATCTTGCGACAAGTTTTAGAGAACAAAGAATATATAAACATGTCAACAGAATTGTAGAACCAGCAAAACAAGTGTGAAATTGAAACAAAGACAATATCTACTTGAAGATTCCCTGAAAAAGTACAAGGAGAATAAGACCAGGTGTTCCAGAAGAATAGGCATCTTCTATTTTAAGTTATGGTGACAAATCATGTTTGTTTTATAAAATTGGCACTCTTATGCAGTCATTTACAAACAATCTGGAAAATGAAGCTGCCCAATATTTGTACGTAGCATGTTATTTGCATGATGGTCTAGCTAATGGTCTTAAACCAATAAGATACGCAGTCTTTAAAGTGATAATATGGTGTCCAAGATCAACATTCCCTACAATGTATCCAAAGAAATGGACAACTTCCCTATCATCTTGGAGCCTATTTGGGACATTTATTACATAAGTAATACTACTATGCTTGTTCATTTTTTATGGGCTGCAATGATGTACTGCTTGCATATAGTTTTTTTCAGTATATAGCAAGCTAATAACAAAGAATTTATTGTTTTAATGGTCTTAGCATACCAGTACTTTCAGTACTTTGATTTCGACAACGATTAATTATGATAGGCTTAAAATCGCTCGTTATGAGTAACTGTATTTCCCATAATATAACAATGTAGGCATTTTCCTAAACCTGAATGGTGCCTATCTTATTCATATAATCAATAATGAGATTCATTTGCTTTTCACAAATTTCCTGATCTTTTCAGGTATTCTAGAGAGATTTTTTAAAATAATATGGTTGAATGCATTTTACCTGTACTTTCGTTTTCCTATATAAACATCGAAGTTTTGACTATCAATTCTTATACCATTTACATATATAATTTTATCAGATGCAAATTATATCTTTATAAATATATGTTAGGTTTCCTTTTTTCTTCATAACCTCATCTATTGCTTCAGCAATCACACGGGTATTGATCAGGGTTGATTTTTGAAAATACAAACATCGTGAGTCAGTCTATAAAAAGTTGTTTACATTTATAACCATGACGACGCTACCTGCTGGCGGAGGAAGATTTGCTTTTCAAATAAAACTGGATTGGAAATTAGTCATCAAATTACATGCACATTTGCATAAAAAATTATCAATATACATGTATGTTTTAATGAAGAAAAATTCAAATAACCGGAATTGCTTTCGACATTTACAAACGTTGTGTTCAACAGTTCTTACAGTAGTTACAAAAGGATTCTTTATTCCTTCCTAAACAAAGACATACATGTACAGCTGGTTATTTGTCTGGCTATCGCTTCACTTCCGCTTGGTTTATTTCCTTTTACATAGGTAACGTGTTAGAATGGCCTCCGTCTCTTGAATATCTGAATTTTAAAAAAAAGAAGAAAAAACAAGTCTTATACTTCGATCTCCTCTGATTATAAAAAAAGGAGTGGTATTTTTTAACAAAACTAAGTTTTTTAGTGAGCGATTCTGAACAAAACTAAGCTTTTTAGTGAGTGCTTCTGAACAAATGTAAGCTTTTTAGTGAGTGTTTCTGAACAAAACTAAGCTTTTTAGTGAGTGTTTCTGAACAAAGCTAAGCTTTGCTGCGAGTGTCTCCGAACAAAACAACTAAGCATTGTAGTGAGTGTTTCTGAACAAATGTAAGCTTTGTACTGAGTATTTTTTTAACAAAACCAAGCCTTTGAAAGTGCAAAATAGCTTGAAATATCGAATACAAAGAACTGAGTCAAATTTCTAGAGATAGGTTCTATTATTATTGTTTTAGTGAGGTCTTTTAGTGCATTTTTGGCAGAGAAATCTAGTCCGAGTCTAGACCTGACCACCGGACACAATGAGCACGCAGCATTCGACATCCTCGATACTCGGGGGTTACGATCACTTTCGCTCACTGCACCCCTGGGACATAACATAGCAAAATGGAAGGTTCCCTATGCGACACCTTGTGGACAAGACGTTTGATCCTTTGATGTACATCAAACGAATCACGACGTCGTATAACGTATATTGTTATGGCTTCGAAGTTGGACGGTGCTCCATTGTAATCTTCAAAAGGGGGCGTATCCGGCAGACTGGGACGAAAATGCTACACATACCATTTGGGGCTACGACAGGGTGATGATCATTCCCGTGTCTCTCTGATCTTAGATTGCCTACACAGTCTACAGTCGCCACCCACTCACGAATATAACTACAGTTGATCAGCATGTACAGATTTCGGTTTCGATTGCTTACACACCTATAGGTAGGTTGGTACATCTCTCCATAGAGGTGTGTCCTTGTGTCCAAATGTTGTTCTAACCACACAAAAGTTCAAATAACCATATAAACAGGTAGTTCAACAAGACCGCAAAAACAATCCTGGTATACTTGTGCAAGTCAATACTTTCTAATAGAGAAATATAGATGAAAAAAAAACTGATAAACAGGTCGTTCATCTAGACAGCAACAAATCCTGGTATATTTGTGCCAGTCTCTACATTCTGATCGAGAAATAGAGAAAATTTGCCATTACAGTTCAGCCTGCTTTAAACGTCATTCTGACATAACACTACTTTTTTCAAAGTCAAGTAAGTAGCCTTTATAGAAAGGTTTGACCATATATAGACATATTTACTGAATTGAAATCAGCAGGCTTTCAGACTGATTGCCAGAGATAACACTGAAGTGTGAAATATTTGCATACATATTCCTGTTAGACCCTTGTCTCAACATATTGGTATATAACTAAGAATACGAACAATTCTGATGAGAATACAAATATGTATATCAATACATGATTTTTTTTTACTTCAGCAATTATATCAACAGTAACATATATTTATTACAATATTCAATACATTTTAAAATTCCCATGAACAGCACCATGGTTAAATATCATGACTTTCACACTTTGATAACTTGTAAAATATTATCTCACTTAATTTGAAAAAAAAATAATGAAAAGATGATGAATGTTTCATATATCGTTTTCAATGTATATATATCATAATATGAAATGGCATGCTTTTAAGATAATTTAATATTAATCCGTGTTCGTTTTCACTATGTTATCAAATCTTACTGTCAACATTGAAAAACCCAAAATTAAACAAATGTCATCTAACACAATTCTGATTTGATTCCAGTAATGCATTCCACGTCTGTCTACCCAGAATGTTAAGTCACAGTCCACAAAAACAGTAGCCAGTGTCAGCAGAATAATCACGGAGATAGACATATCCCTAAGGAAATATCCTGAAAAAAAACTTAAAGCTGCACAAGCAATGATGAGTGTATAAAAGTATCTACTCCAATCGCCCCCAACAACATGAGACAAGAAGGCACGCTTGTCTTCTGCACTATTGTTCAGGACGTAGGTGATCCCAAGAAGATATAAACCAACAGTTATCTCCCCTATGCGACGGAGATGGGTTGTCCACTTCCTGTCTTGTAGATGCGAGTACAAAATGAACATTCCTGCACATCCTATATGTCGTACTCCCATACGTATCTGAAAGTAGCAATAAAGATAAAATATCAGTGTGTTAAACAGTTATAAATCATCCCCAGCTTTGACAAGTATTGTGTAATCAAAGCAATTCCTTCCCAAAAATAAAGGTCCAATGACCCATGAAACCATCAGATTTTGAAAGTTGATGTTTGGAATTAAGCATTCAACTGAACAAATCCCTTGAAAAATTAGACCTGATGTTACTAAACTCTTCTTTACTCTTCTTAATGTCAGAGAATATTTTGTTGCAAAACTAAAATTGAAAATACCGTAAATAATAAATGTTTTTTCTTACTATATTTATTGCTTTCAAATTAAGAACATAAGTTGTATATTTATTTGATTATATCATGTAATACACATTGGATGGAAAACAGCTTTCAGACTGACATCGATATGTAATCTTGAAAATATTTCAGTTAATTCCAAACCTAAAGGTGTCCGGATTAAGAACAGTAATGAGCTTAAACATTCTTTAACAAAGATACCATTTTAAGCTGCCAATGCGATTTTGGCAAAATCTGAAAAAAGAATGATAAAATTACATAATAACAGAACTAATGTTTATCATTAATGAATGGAAGAACAAACACAACTTAGTTTAGTTATCAATCGATTACCAGTTCACAGAAATCCTCTACAAAAGTCTATCACTCAAATTTTCAAAACAGTATTTTTTTCAGAATTTGAAAATGCTTTAGTGTTCCCCATCAAATTTTTTTTAAATTCCTATTCTAATATGGAGTCATGTAAATATTGAATTTTCATTACATATAGAAATATAAATAAATGTTGATTTTTATTTTACATTGTAAACCAGACTAGGTGTGGAGCAATTCAATCCATGTTCATGTAAGTATGTTTCTAGTAAGTGAAACTTACCCTTTGCCACTGTGAGTAGTGAAGATTTGTGTTGGTGTACATATTGAAGGCGAAGAAAAACATTTGTCCAGCACAAACTAGTGACAATTCCTTCCTCATCACCTTTCCTGACATCAAGAACCCACACATCAGGAACACCCCAATGTTGGCATATATCAGATTTGGATGCATGGGAGGCTGACTGTAACAATCCAAAGGGCACATACTCAGCATGGATAGCAATTGTACAGTAACATTATTGTATTTTTCTTTTGCTTTTATAGGGTTTAACAACCTCGCAACAGCAAATGTCATGAAGTTGGAAAGATAATCCAAAAAGTGGCAAATAATTGACAGAAAGAAGGAACAGACAGAAAACATTGTAATCGGAAAAATCCATTTTGCACTCTTATCATGCCTCCTCAGTAGGAGACACAGAAGAAAGCTCCAAATTCTGCAGGGCCTTCCGTTTTAGTCACCTCCTATAATCATGAAGTGGAATAAAGATGAGTTTCAATAGTTTACTGATTAATGTTAATATCAATGCCCTATGTAATACAACATAACACAATAATCACACTTGTCAGCTGTGCAGCTGGTCATTGAAACTGGACTGTTATTTGTGTTATTTGAAACTTTGTGGATTGAGTAATTAGGTCATATTACACCTTGTCATGTATCGGAAATTTAGTCACGGTACAGTGCGCAGCTCTGGTAAATGGAGGAAGGAAAAAACAAGAATCTTGTGCACCGTGTTGTTCTGGCCTCATGCAGCGTTGGTCAAGTCACTCTTCGTTAGTCTTTATACAGACCAACTGCTTCCCTAAAATTAATTGAGAATTTGATTCGTTTTAAGAATGGCATGACTCGCAGAAGTTCAGAGAGGTCAGGCCATTCAGATGCTGATGCAAGGACAGATGCAAAATCAGGTTGCTAGGCACTTTGATGTTAATGTTTCCACCATAGAACTTCTTTTAAGACGTCTTCGGGAAACTGGGCGATTGGCCGATCGACCTAGGTCAGGACGTCCGCACGTAACGTCACGACGTCAGGATCGCTATATCGTCGTCTCTCATGTGCGTAATCGGTGCCTTACTGCCGTTGAGAGTGCACTTAATGTTCGTGGAAATCATGGGCGTCCTATAAGTTCAAAAACTGTAAGGAATCGATTACGAGAAGTTGGTGTAAGAGCACGTTGCCCCTACGTAGGTCCACACCTTACCCCTGCTCGACGTCAGCATCGTATGGCCTGGGTCGCTGCACATGCTCCACGACAGTTTCCACTGAAGCATGTTATCCCTTTCTTACAGCAGCATAATCTAACCCTCCAGCAGGATAATGCTAGGCCCCATATAGCAAGGATTTGCCAAGTCTTTCTGGCCAACAACAACATTCAACCACTAGATTGGCCGCCATATAGCCCTGATTTGTCCCCGATCGACAGGTTCGAAAGCGCCACCACCCCCTGCTACTCGAGAGCAGTTGACCAGAGCTCTGATTGAAGAGTGGGACAACATCCCCATAAGACGGATTAACGCTCTCATGAACTCTATGACCAGAAGAATAAGGGCCGTGACCACAGCAAATGGCGGACACACAAGAGATTGATGACTTAGTGCAATTTCAAAATTTCAAAATCCTATGGGTCCATTCAATTTAATCGTTAGTACCTCTAAACCAATTGTCAGATGCAAAAGACAGACTTTGGAAATTTTTAAGCTTTAATTTATCTGTAAGTATACAAAATTTCGTTTTAAATGAAGCCTGATATCATACTTAATTTCTGGTTTAAAGTTCACCCTGCATTTCTTTATCCTTTTAGTATATATAGCTCAAAAGATAAACAAATAATGAGGCTATAAGTTCAGGTTACTCAACTTAAGTAGAGAACTGTGATGACATCAATGCTTAAGGGGAGACCACTCAGCATCTGTTTAGTATTAATGAAACAAAGGCATTTGTTTGACCCTGCAAATGCTATAGTTCAAAATCAGACCTGGTCATTTTGAGGCAGAGCCTCATTGTTTTGATACATCCGGCAAACAAACACAGTGACTTTTATCCTTGACCAACAACACTGAAACTTGAACTTGTTCAATTGTTGTTTTCAAATGTGGATGGCTTGATAAAACTTTCGTAATGAATGATATTATTAGAATGCTGAAGATTTTCTATAAATAGAAACAGTGACCTTGACCTAAAAACTCTGAAACTTTAAATTCTTCAAGACATTTTGGAGCTTTAAACGTGTGTGAAGTTTAATGAAAATCCTTCAAGAAATGCAGTCAATAGAGTGCTGACAATTAACTAAAAAAAGTGACCCTGACTTAACAACCCTGAATTTCAGACTTGTCCTATTTGTTATGGTTTATCATAATGTGAGATTTGATCAAAATCTAGTAAGGAATAAAACCACACTCACTTTAGAGTACTGACAAACTTTGATGTCAGGTATGTATGTACAAAGACAGAGAGAAGGAAAGGAAAACTATATATATTGCCTGAGATTTCATCAGTAGGTAAATAAATAATAAGTTAGCTAATACAACAAAAAACAGAAAATAAAACGATACTTGAAGGACTGAATGCAAATCCAGAATATTAATGGACATAAGTGTGGAATTAATCCACAAAGGGAGATGTTTCAGAAAAATACAAATTGCATAGCAAAAAGTTACAAAATCATGCATGATAAATATAAAATTAATTATCAAATTAAAGATAACATCAAAATAAATAAAGAGTACAGCTGTTGGGCACCCTTGGGTTGCTCTTCAAAAGTGGAAAATGGTTGCCTTGCTTCCCATATGTGATACCAATGATAACTGTACAGTCTGTAAACCAGAAACAGTACTCAAGTAGAAAAAAAGTCTTGTTCAACCACCCCATGAGCATTTCATAAAGCGATTAAATATCTGTGTGACAGAGATTAGAGTTATCTCCCTTAATGTATGACAAACATTAAATAATGCAGAGGAATAAAAAACTGCCTGAAGAAATTTCAGTTAAATAGCCTTGCAGTTTCAATAAACCATTTTTCTCCAAAAGTACATAATCATTTCAAAAGAAACAATAGTAGAAGACTTGTGAATTGATTGTGCTAACTTTTGTGTCATAATTTCTGCTACTTTTGATAGTTATAAAAAAAAATGCATGTTTAACCTTTTTACAGCTGAAACACCACCTTACTGTACATTGCGTGTATACCACTTTCAGTTTGTTTAAAAATGTAAATAAATTGCATTAAAAATGTAAATAAATTTTCCAGCTGACTCATGAAAGTGTTGTTAAACTCCATTTTAATCTATCAGTATAGTTTTCGTTAAGCAAAATGAGATAAGGTTAGATCACAAGGAATCTTGATGACTGAACAGCTCAGTGAACAAATACAAATGCTAATCGGCCTTGTTTCTAATTCCTCTGTCATATACGTCCCTTATTGTATGCTGTATAACACTATGACAAGTAACAGCTTTATTCATCAATACAAGAATATTGATATTTTAGCGACTTTAAGAATATTTTACATTCAATCTAAGTATAGTTTGCAGACTATACATCGATTTGGATTTGTTTCTACTATGCAATATTATGGCATACGTGAATCTAAAATTATTTTGACGTTCTATTACACTTTTTTTTTTAAATCATCATCTTCAGACCAATATTTTTTTATATCGGTCTAGAGATCAATGCACAAAAGTCGAAAGAACACCAGAATAATTCGAACTAGGCTTCTATTTGCAAGAAGGATAATTTTGTTTATTTTCTTTGCCTTAATTTTAAAAAAGCAATTTTGTTATATGTTATTATATGCCTCGTTTCAGTGCGATTAATGTATTTCGTTAATTTGCCAATAAACTTACGATCTTTTAGGTTCTTCCTTTTTGCATACAGTGTGCCGAATATCTTCCTTTTTGCATACAGTGTGCCGAATATGAACTTAATTTACCAACAAACAGTACCGGTACTTCGAATTCAATTAATGGCAAATGACAGTCAATATGATGAAGTAGGGTGGAGCTGTAGGCGACGCGATGAAATTAAACGCAAAACAGTTCAAATTTAAAAGCGTTCAACTAAACCATGATATAGTGTTTAGCGTGTTAAGCTTACGTTTCGTGCTGTGCCCGCTCCGCGAGAAGCATGAGAAGTGATAATGCATTTATGAAGGGGAATCTGGCTAAGAGAAACTCCGGCAACGATTTCCACCAGGGGGCGGCCATCTTTTTGGACTTGTCTAATATCCGAAATGTTTTCGGTATTGTATGCGATAGATTTGAAATACAAACGCATTCCACCCAGTTCATATCGTTATATGGAATCAATGAGGATGTACATTTGATATAAAATTAATATTGCAAAATGTAGCAGGCCATTGATATTTTGAATTACTAAAATTGCAGGAAAACCTTGACAGCAAATTCTTTCCTTACTTTTTAGGACGAACCATGTTACAAAATCGTCTCAAAATGATATGGTTTCGTTCTAACTGGTGGTCTCTTTAACTTGTCATTTCTAAGTTATTATAATGTTCAGATTGATTAATTTGATTGTCATTTTTATCTTAACTATCACTTGCAAAAGTTTCTCCTCCGGAATTAATTGTCTCATTTATGTTTCTTCGTAATTTAGTTTTTAATCACAACTTCCTGTTTACTTTTTGAGGCCGGAGTTGGTGACTGACCGGTTTACCTGTCTGCAGAAGTATATCAGTAATTATTTTGAATTTATACATATGCCACATGTGAATTCAACCTCAATATAGTCTATTTAGTATCTGAATGTTGATGTCACCAAAATATTGACCATCCTCTTAATGTTTGTTATTAATTATAACAACTGATTTTGATTTTTTTGCAGACATAACAAAACCAATATATTTAATCATTTGTTTCTACTCAACTTTTCCTACCGACCCTATCATATTTTTATATTCAAGGAAACATTGTTTGGGTTGAGATCACGCTTCTTTATAGAAATATACACACTTCTCTTGAATAAAATCCCATGAAATTTGCCCATATTCCATAATTATATGTCTGATTTAACTTAACTTGTTTGCTTCCTTTCTTTAAAAAGATGAAGAAGTGACATTAAATTGTCTCTAGTTTAAATATTTGTACTTGTATTTCTTGTGGGAGATACTTATACGTGTGGACTATTTGTTGTTATTTTGGACAGGGTTAAGAAGATAATTTCATTGTTTGTAAATTTCAGGCATATACATGTAGCCCAACTGAAGAGTGGCAGTTCTCAGTTAACATTATAGATGCAACAATTGGATTTCTACACTGTATTTTCTATAAATTATTGAACATTTAACTAAACACAATTATATGCATGTTAGAATAAAGTATCCTCTTTCTTGAAAGGACTTGCAGGATGGACAGGAAAACATTTATTAAGCTTGATCTGAATGAAGATAAACAAGTTTACCTGCTGACATCTCTAGTGGATGAAGATCAACCTCATTGTAAATTTAAACTGACACTCAGTGATGGATGCAGAGCCTGGATGGGACAAGGTAATATCAACCACACTATAAATGTAAAGAGGCTCTACTGAACAGGTGTCTGGACGGGACAAGATGTTATACTCTATCTTTATACTGCTTTACACCCCCATTGCTTGCAGTTCACAAAATTATCTCAGTTTCAGTACAATGTACTAAAATTCCAATAAAAAGTTTAACAATAAGCCCACTTAACTGACATATAGTGATTGGCTATGCCTTGTCTCCATGTAGCTAAATAAATGGACTTCAGTTTTAACATTTTTTTGCCAGTGAAATGTAGGAATTTGCAAATGTGACAAAAAACTTCTGTCATTACTGCAGTGTGTTGGTATAAGTAACATCACTCATGGTGATATAAATTTTCCAATAATTATGTAATTTTGGTACTTTTGACCCAATTCACAACCAGAGTATTGCTTTCACTCAATGCATTGAAATGATCTGATTTTCCTGTTCAAACACAAATGAAGCATAGGTTAAATAAATTTATTTCTGTCAAGTAATTCCTATGGGCATTTCTGGTTTTCTCAAATTTGGTATATAAGAACAGTTTTGTAACCAATTCTGACTAGATAGTAGCATTAAATGGTTGAATACAATGTAAAGCAGCCTATTCACAATATATATTTTTCAGGCAAAATACCCAAATAGCAATTTGTCCAGGTTGTAATGATAATAAAATAGAAAAACAAAGACATAAATGAAGAAATATTGGTAATTTATCTTTAGTGACTCAGATCAACATTGGAGACCCAGCTCAGAAAAGTAAGAAATATCTTCCGGAGTATCAACGACAGACTGTTGAAGCCTTCACAGGGGAGACAACTAATGATAATGAATATCGGTTCTCACTTAAACATCAAGCTAATGCTGTGGAACTGTCCTGGAAAAGAAATGTACCATCAAAAGAAATAGCCGTACGTAGATTTTTAAAAAATTCACTCGATGCAACCATTTAATATTTGACATACCATATAATGAACATTTACTTTAATTGATATCAGTATAGTATCAATATAATTACATATAGATATGATATTGTGTGATAGTTTTTGCTTTATCAGCTCCATTTTGAATTTGATCTTATTTAATATTATAAATTCTGCCAAATTTACTAAGTCTATACTTATAACTATACTATGTCTGCTCATTTTTTTCTCGTATGGCCGTTAATTTGAAGCTTAAAAAATCATAATGATTACATCATTTAGAGCCTGTTGTTACATAACTCATCGTAATGCTATTGCATGGCAAGTCTGACTATCTATCCAAACTCAAGTTTCAGGGACAGTTTTATTACAGCAAACATTTGATTGAAATTGACAAAATGAACTGATTAGATGATGGCATAAAATCAATATTTTCACAAATGATGTATATTCAGTATATTTGAAAATCCTCACGTAAATCAAACTTGTTGACAGATTTATTAATAAATAATTTTAAGACTGACATTATTGATTTTGATTTTAGATTCGGCTGGGTACAGTATCTCTGAAGCTATGTTCCGATGAGAAGAGTCAAGAAGTCATAACACAAATATTTCAGTTCTGTATTGACCAGACTGGTCAATTCAAAGACCAGATTCGTACACTAAACATTGACAATGAAAACCTCGCACAAGAGCGTGTTAATGCTTTGAAGGTAATGTCATTACAGTCAGGAGTTTCATTCCCAGTCCTCACACATAAGTCCATGTACTCTTCCAACGAAAATCATACACAGCCTAATGTTAAATTCTCTTAATGTAACTAAAATGTTTTCCTACCTCATACTGGCTGAGTTTCAGAGTTGAAGTTCTTATTGAACACATTCTTAAGAAAACTTCTTCATTTTTAAGTAAATTCTTTCCTTTTAGACCTAAATACATTTAGTATATGAAATTATCAAGAGTGACCTCCCTTTAATAATTCATTATGCAAGAAATTATCTAAAGTTGTCTTGTTTACATATAAGATTGAGTGGGAGAAAGATAATTGATACTGAATTGAAACAAAAAGTTGAATTTTTCACATAATTGTTCATTCAAGCTGTATTAATGAATATGCAAATCAGGTACAGGTATAATTATTCAAATAAATTTTAATTGTAGGTGGCATCTTTTTAATCTGAAATGAGAACTAAAATCATTGACAGTGCAAACTATCCCATATTTTTGATCTCTAAATGAACTTTGATATAATCATATTTCTTTTCCAGAGGTTGGAGAAGTGTGTTGTTGCGAAAGAAGAATTGGAGAAGGACTTGTACTCAAAGGTACCAACTTTAACAATAATTCATTAAATATATGCAGGAATTTCTTACCCAACAATATCTCATCTTAATAACATCTGCCCATTTTAAATAAGGGCTTCTAACCTTGGGCTGAAATCTGCAGGTATCATTGTCTTTCTTTGAACAAATTCTTTTAAAGGAGTTTTGCACTAAGATTTATTTAATGGTGATGAAATAGCGACTGAAAGACCTATGGTTTATTCAACTTACTGGGATGTAGTCCAAGGTTCAAGCTCCAAATGACATGGTTCTCCTTATGAACTCAAACTCCAGGAGTGACGATATATTGTCTTTTGCAGTATAGGGATTTACTTCTTTTTGAGACAACTCATTCTTGAAACAACTCATTTAGCTTTCAGATATAAAGAACACATACCTGATAGGGATGTTGATCCATTAATGATTGCCATTTGTAATACATGTGTTTCAGTGATTTTGAATATTCAGAGCCTTGTTGATCTATGTACATCTGTATTTCTTTTCCTGACAGTTTGTTGCAGTACTGAACGCTAAAAAGGAGAAGATACAAAGGCTGAAAGATCAATGCAAGTTCATTTTTATTGCTTAAAATCACAGTAGATCCTCATACTAATACACAATATTATGATCATATTAAATGTTAAAAACAACAATTATTGTGAGATTGCTTTAGGGTTTGATGTGTATATAATCAGTATATAATCATGACTAATACATGTTTAGGTAACCCATCCTATATCTAGAATTATTTATTATAATTGAAACCAGATAAATAATGTTATGTGAACGTTCCATCATTAGAACCATTTCTTATTTCAATCTGTTTTTAATTGTAAACTGTTCCCATATTTTATCTAACAATAAACCAATATCTAGTAACACGCCCTCCTACAACTTTTGTAGTCTCATCAGCAATTGTTGGCAAATGCTGTATATTCTTGTCATAAGCCCACCCTCTGTTTCAAGTCGGAGGATATATTTGTTTGCCATGTGGGCATATAACATGATAGATGTGGTATTATCTAAACTAAAGTTTCTGTTTTCTTTATCACGTGGATTATGTTCTTTTACAGTAGAAAATGGAGGCCCTATACCGGTTGTTTCAGGTAATGAGGATTTTAAAGAAATTTTTATACTTGTTTATTTATACATATACTCTAGATACACTTCTAACAATGTACTATTGTAAACGTACTTAATTTGACATAATCATATTTAGCATATTATCACTTTTTTGGCAAATTAGGACAGTGAGCAATTCACATATCCACATTAATTGATTACTAAGCACACTGCATTTAGTGCAATCATATTTAAGTGCTATACATTCAGTGCTAAAAGGAGATTACCATTAAAACATGTACCTTTACAATATATTGTTGCTTGTACCAGATGTTATTATATTACACATTGAATTGCTGTGTGAACTGTTGTCTTCAATTGGTATTCATCATGACTTGAAAGAGGATTACTTCCCCTTTTATACACATGTCAAAAATTTGATGGGACATTATAGGATGGCATCGTTTATCTGTCCTTCATTAACTTTTACATGTTCAGAGATCCGCTCCCACAGTTTTCAATCTATCTTTTTCAATGTTAGTAGGCTTAATAACCATGACATGAAGATTTCCTGAAATATAGTTTGACTGTATTTGGAAATGTTACTGAACTTAGTTGTTTTCATAATTTAAATGTTGATCTTTTTTGGAGATCGCCAATTTTTTTAATCAATTTATATAAACTTGATATGCTCAGTCACCATGACATTTTTTGTTTTCCTACCCAGCAGTTTGATAAAACATTTTTTGAAAGAGTAATTGCCTTTTGTGTTTCAAATATCTTCAATTTTGAAAGTAGCATCTCCTCCAGTTTTTGGCCAGTTCTCTGAAACTTGTAAGGCTTTATAATCCTTACATGAAAAGGTGTTATAATTGCTGGCATTGTGATTCTACAAGTCTGGAAAGAGTTATTACCCTTTTTTTAACATCTCTATCTTGTCCAGATACGTATCTCCTCCATCACGTCTCTATCAATTCCTTTGAAAACTACAACATATGATTGTGTTCTCAGTATTTTTGTTCTTGTCAATAGATAACTTTCACTTTTCCACATAACTCTTTAAAACTTGGTTTGCTTTAATTGATCATGAAAACAAATTGCAGTGTTTTCCCTTTTGACATTTTGACTTTTATTCTTTTTTTCCATATTTGTATTCTTGATACAACAAATCCTAGATATTTCTTTGGTATAGGATGTGTGTATATTGTTCTGCCCTGTTGATTTATTGTATCATATTATGTCATCATTTCATTTGTATGTATGTATAATGTTTCATCATTGAATGTCACAATCAACATTAAAAGGCCCTAATTTGTTCTCTCTGATGACCATTCAAATTGACTTGTAAATTCCTGTCAATAAAAATATGCAGAAAATTGAAAACAATTGAAAGGACTAGAAATTGAATTAATTTCACATTTAATCTTAGAATAACTGTTATAAGACTTTATATATATATATATCGGTACAGATAGCGAGGAGGAGCCGTCAGCCAGTACCTCTGGGACAACAACGGCAAGTGTTGTGTCAGCTCGTAAGAGGAAAACTGCTGATGAAAGGTTTATATAAATTTTGATTAAATTTTTTTTTCACATTATTTTCATGCCTCTAATGAATGGTATGGATGTTAAAAAGAAATAAGCATTTTTTCCCGATATATATATAACAATCAAACCACTTATGAAAAAATTCAAATTCATTATTACATGAGCAATAGTTAAATGGTTAAACTGACAGACTTATCACGAGACATTGATGCAATATTTGGTGTTTCTTATCCTACCGACTTAAGGCAAAACACTGGCTTTAAATACTGGAGAAATACATCTTCTGTAAATGTTAAACCTGCGGTAGAAACACATTCTAATGTTATCTTGTTCTGTTGTTTTAGTGAAGGTGATACATCAGATGAGAATGTGGTAAGTGATATAGAGCAAAAACACAATAAAAAAAAAGATAAAAATGTGAAGACGTTCATATCTGAAATAAGATACTGAGATAAAAGGAAAACAGTATAATTATGTTCCTGTAAAGATTGTAAAGAAACATTTCAAATTCTCTTAATACACAAAAATTCTTAAATGTTTGTCCATACCATTACCACATACTTCATTTCATTGGAAGTTTTTTTAATTTCAAATATAAGACAAAATCATATGATGTTGGATGTTTCAACAGAAAACTTGCAAGATCAAACTTTTTTATTTATAATTATCTTATTTCTGTTAACTACATATTTGCATACATTAAACAATTGAAAAATGATAATTTATTACAGTGAATTTATTTTTATTATGGAACTCTTTTGTTTAGGAAATAAATATGATTTAGGATGTATTTTTTCGTACCTCATTATGTCACATTTTTCATGTGTGTTATTTTCCATGTATTTGTTCAATTATAGAAGTTGAGATTTCATGTTTGTAAACCAACAGAGGATTCCTACAATTAACATTTGTTATGATACTCGGATCTATAATTAGATTGCCTCATCACTTGTAGAACATTTGTTATCATAATAATAGCACACAAAATAACAAAATATTGATAAAATCAAATTAAAGTAAAGACAAAGTATTGACATATGTCTTTATGTAATACACAATTTATATTAGCTATTACTGCTGATACACAAATAAGATATTATTACATTTTTATATTTAGACACCGTCTCAGTCAACGCGAAAGAAAAAGAAAGTTACCAGACCGAGAAAAGTGGATGACGATGATGGGTTAGTACTGGAGGAGAAGGAGGATACTGTCAGTGGATCTGGTGTGGTCAGAAGGTAAGATGTGGATTAGTACTAGTATGATACCGTCAGTGGATCTGGTGTGGTCAGAAGGTGAGATGTGGATTAGTACTAGTGTGATACCATCAGCGGATCTGGTGTGGTCAGAAGGTAAGATGTAGATTAGTACTAGTGTGATACCGTCAGTGGATCTGGTGTGGTCAGTGGATCTGGTGTGGTCAGAAGGTAAGATGTGGATTAGTACTAGTATGATACTGTCAGTGGATCTGGTGTGGTCAGAAGGTAAGATGTAGATTAGTACTTGTATGATACCATCAGTGGATCTGGTATGGTCAGAAGGTAAGATGTGGATGAGTACTAGTGTGATACCATCAGTGGATCTGGTGTGGTCAGAAGGTAAGATGTGGATGAGTACTAGTGTGATACCGTCAGTGGATCTGGTGTGGTCAGAAGGTAAGATGTGGATGAGTACTAGTGTGATACCATCAGTGGATCTGGTGTGGTCAGAAGGTAAGATGTGGATTAGTACTAGTGTGATACCGTCAGTGGATCTGGTGTGGTCAGAAGGTAAGATGTGGATTAGTACTAGTGTGATACCATCAGTAGATCTGGTGTGGTCAGAAGGTAAGATGTGGATTAGTACTAGTGTGATACCATCAGTAGATCTGGTGTGGTCAGAAGGTAAGATCTAGATTAGTACTAGTGTGATGCCGTCAATGGATCTGGTGTGGTCAGAAGGTAAGATGTGGATTAGTATTCAAGTAAATCAGTGATACTGTTATATGCAAAGATATATATTTTTGAGTCCCATTACTAGAGATGTAGTGGATTTTCCAAACTTGTGGTAGAGTCTTGCAGGGAAGGCTCGAGTCAAGGACTCAGAGGTCCGAATCTCAAAAATCACTGATTAAATGTGACAAAAATCACTCAAAAAACTCAACAGCATTAAGAGATGTTAACGTTTGTTTTGACAATATGTAGATACATGTAGAGTGATTGTTTTAATGAAGATATGAAAGCTGATATCATGTTTAAATGCAACATATAACTGGTTTACTGGTTTACAATGTGTTTTATTAGCCCACCATCATCAGATGGTGGGGTATTCAAATCGCCCTGCCGTCCGTGGTCTGTGGTCCGTCCGTCCGTAAACGATTCTTGTTACCGCTATTTCTGGAAAAGTACTGGATGGATCTTTCTCAAATTTCATATGCAGTTTCCCCTTGGTCCCTAGTTGTGCATTGTATCTTTTTTGGACTGATTCGAATTCAAGATGGCCGACAGGTGGCCATCTTAGATTTTGGATGTAAAAGTTTGTTACTGCTATTTCTTGGAAAGTACTGGATGGATCTTTCTCAAATTCCATATGCAGTTTCCCCTTGGTCCCTAGTTGTGCATTGTATCTTTTTTGGACTGATTCGAATTCAAGATGGCCGACAGGTGGCCATCTTAGATTTTGGATGTAAAAGTTTGTTACTGCTATTTCTTGGAAAGTACTGGATGGATCTTTCTCAAATTCCATATGCAGTTTCCCCTTGGTCCCTAGTTGTGCATTGTACCTTTTTTGGACTGATTCGAATTCAAGATGGCCGACAGGTGGCCATCTTGGATTTTGAATGTAAAAGTTTGTTACTGCTATTTCTTGGAAAGTACTGGATGGATCTTTCTCAAATTTCATATGCAGTTTCCCCTTGGTCCCTAGTTGTGCATTGTACCTTTTTTGGACTGATTTGACATCAAGGTGGCCCACAGGCCGCCATCTTGGATGTCGACAGTAATACAGCACAAGCATATTGTCCATTATCCACCTGTAACTGACTGCTATCTAATAATACTTTGGGATCTTTTTCAAATGATATTTGCTAATAGGTGCTTAATAAAAATATCTTGTGCCATCATTGTTACTTAGTTTTTATCCAAATGTTCTAAAATTTGAATATCACACTTTTATTATGTTCAGGCCTAGACGACCTCCAGGAGGAAACAAAAAACAGACGCCATCAAAACCAGTTCTACCTAGGCTGAATTCAGATAGCTCGTAAGTACAATTAATATATATACCATACACTATGTTATCCAGTACTGTAAACCGTCTTTGTTTAGCATGTAATAAATCTTGTGGTTGAAAGAAGTTTGTGAGAGGTAATTGTTGTAAATATTGGCAGAAGTAAACTGCCATGGACTAGTCGTAAAAATTAGTAGCCACGGAAGAAAGTTAGTATACAGTACACTCTGTGTTAATTGAGATTTTTTATCTGTAATTTTACAAAATTTGAAATATCTTTTATTAATCATAAGAACTTAAGTATTTACTAAGGTACTTTGACATTTACCATAAATTTTACAGAAACAGTTCTGGCAGCAACAGGAGGTCAAGAATAAGGAAGTCAACATCAGGCCGATCCAATCGTTCATCAGACAATGTAGATATTGACGATTTACTGGACGATATGTAGAGATGTTTTAGTAGTTAAACAGTGATTGATACTTAATAATGTAATGCATTTTAGATGACTATGAATCCATGTCTGTATCAGGAAAATTGTCATAAATCATCACGAAAATTAAACCACTATGTCACCAACAGAGTAATTTTTCTGTGAAGCTTCCAGATGAATCTGAATGGCATAATTCTTTTGCATGGAAAAGCACCTGTCTGATTAAGAGGCTGATGATGTTTTGTTTTGACACTGTAGAGTGATACATGTACAAAATGTTTGGGACGACATCAACCCATACTAAAGTTATCAATATATAATTATGCATTGTAAATTTAGATGGAATATTGAATTATGATAAATACACACAGCTGAGTCTGCTATTCAAGTTATTGGTTGTGTAGTTGCTCCACCTTCAGTGGCTGTTTTACAAATCATCTGTCTTACATATCCGGCCAATGAGAACAAAATGAAATGAATCATGGATAATTGATTTCAATATTACATGTTTGTTGTTGTACTTTTATATAATTATAATATATGTGATTATCGGAGGGTTTTGTACCAACTCACAGCAAAATGCCATTTTTGTGTGTATGACTCTCAGAATGTTTAGTTTGTGAAACTTTGAGGCAGACTATGTAAATCAATATGATAGGTACTTGAAAGATGTAAATGTACGTAACATATTTTAGAGAGAATGTTGTATATTTGGTAGTATTTTTTTTACTGAAATATTAAATAAATAAACTTTAAAAAGAATCAATTTATCTTGTATTATTTATGCGCTATGATTATTGTTTGATGAAATCCGAGGTTGTGGTGGCAGAAGACATTTGGCTGTCATCTGTCTGTCCATTAAAGCTTATAGGATAAAGATAATTTGCATAAATGCTGGCCAGAATGAACCTTAGTGAATTGGAGAAGAATTCTAGGATTATATATATTCATGTTTTGTGAACCTAGATAATGATTAAAAACTATTTTTCACGATATGATTTAAGTTAAATAGCATCAGAAATTTATTTTATTTGAATGTGTTGCTGTACTGACAGGGAATTCATAACGTTGATGGATTATAATGATACGTGATGTAACTATGTGTATTGGACCGGCTACCTAAATATACGATAGAATTGTATATCTCGGGTATCTAGCCTACAGGTATCACTTAACTTGGAATTTAAATTGATGTTGATTTCAATAGGTATGCATCAGAAATGTTCAGTGAGGTAAATGATCACTGAAGTACGGAATTAAGGTACACTTTCTGCACAATTACGGCGATTTATCATCTACGGCATAATAAAGTTGAGGTTCTTTTGAAATTATCAGATATATATATGAATAAGAAATTCATTTAAGTATGGGACCAGGGCATTCATTTTTCTTTCGACAAAGTTTGTTTTCCTCAATTTCCTCCTACATTTTAGGCCGTTAGAATCACCTAGCCACAGCGGGACGGGTCAGCTGTATGATAAAATCCAATTCATCATCTAGATCTACAGTATCCAATTCTAATTTTATATTGAACATTTTGTGTTGTTTGTATTCATAGCTACAAAGGTTAAGAGAATGCCGAGATCTTTCATAGGAACAATTTCTGTCTGGGTGTAATTGAATGAAATACTCAGTTTTCTGACACTTGTAAGTCCGCATGTTGGGGAGAGGTTAAATTGAATCTCTGTTTGCCCAGAGAGTGCAAGAACTATTCAAGGGCTTTCATTGATTTTGAAAATGACTCCTGAATTTCTACGCGCGCCAAGCCCTACTGAGGCATATATTTAATGTGGAATTCCAGTTGGGGTTTCTGGATGTCAGGAACCTGCGAGATTTTCTGAAAGCCAATGCTCTCTATGCAGTAGCTGTTAATTGCCTTGGTAGACATAATTTCCGATCGCCTTTAATTGGCAGTGTTGTGAACAAGGCTGTAAACAGAAAGTAGGATTTATGTCCTTCTTAGTTGTGCCTTTGGCAGCGATTGGTTTAGAAAAGTGACATGACGCGCCATGAAAATCTTTGTCCAACCAAGTAAATCCTGTTGCGTTCCCAAATGAAAACAAGGTTAATAACAACGGAACTACCGGACACACAACTAGCATCGAGTACATTCAATGAATCTTGGTCAAGGAAATCGAATATTGCCTAGTGAGATCATTACGTTCTTCATCAACCTATATTCTCAAAACAGTGTGTTTGATGTTGTATCTGCGAGTCTTCGACATCGTGCACGAAAATCTTGACATTTCGAAGGAATATTTTGGAATCGGCTGTTAAGTGTGGAGGGAGGTATCTGTAGTTGCTGGTTAATATATTATTGAATCTATGAACAAACGTTGGACCGTTTGTAAACAGAAAAAAGGAAAGATAAAAAAAAACACATTTATCAACTTTAATCTTAGTTTGTTGTTGGTCTTTTTAACTGTAAAATGCACTGTCGTCGTTGTGGAATAAGTGTATGACAACAGAACATCAGATGGAGGTATGTCGTGTTCACACAGAAGTCCACCAGCAGTTTTTCAAATATAACAGGTAGGTCCCTATTTTTGGATCAGTTGAAGTCAGCCGTTGTAATTAAAACGTAATAGATCTTATGTATGACGCCCACAGTTTTGTTGCCGTCTCCTTAACTGTTTGCGGCTTTGTAAATACGGCGTCGAAGTGGATTGCTGCAATTCGGCTATCGTCTTTTGTGATGCACATGTCCTTTTTCCCATAATGCAGTTTTGTATTGGCAATAACCCGTTAAATGTAGCTAACTCTATAAGGCGTTTGTTGTGTATATAGATAGTTGGCTTTACTGTTCTTTAGGAGAAGTTTTTTCTGCTCCTGTGTAATCAAGGCGTTGGATTTGGACTGCTTGGCTAGGCGTAGATACTTTTCTTTAAAATAGATATGATAACATTTATTGTGTCATCCTGATACATTACCACTGTCTCATAAAGTCTCGTTATTGCGCAGGATTAAAGATTCGTACAGAAATAATGAGTAAATTATGTATAACGTGATATAACTGTGGTTGACAATTAAAACGTGGAGTAAATGTGTTTAACTATCACAACGTGATATAACTGTAGTTAACTGTTATAACGTGATGACATTGGTAACTGTCATAATGTGATGTAACTGTAGTTAACTATTATAACATAGTGTAATTGAGCTTAACTATTATAACATAATGTAACCGAGCGTAACTATCATAACGTGGTGTAGCTATTATATAGTGGTGTAACTGCGGTTAACTGTTATAACGTGATGACATTGGTTAACTATTATGACGTGTTGTTACTTGATATGTATTAAAACACGGTGTTATTATGGTTAACTATTGTAACGTGATTACAGTAGTCACCAATTATAACATGATGTAACCGTGGTTTACTATTATGACTTGGTATGCCTGTGGTTAATTGTTAACGTGGGTTTACTGTGGCTTACTATTACATTGTGATATAGCTGCGGCTAACTTATATGATGTTATATGAATGGATAACTTTGTTAAATGGTTTAACAGTGGTTTACTATCATAACGTGATGAAAGCGGTAACTATTATAATGTGAAGTATCTGTGATTAACTTTTATAACCTGATGTAATTGTGGTTAACTATTATAACTTGGTGTAACTGTGGTTAATTATTGAAACGTTCTATAACTATGGTTAACTATTTTAACATGATGTAACTGTGGTTCACTTTTATACGATAAATATCACTTGTAACATTATTTGGTATTGGTTTACTCAGTAATTGTCATATTGCTATGATTCCGTTCTGTGTTAAATACTTGTAGCTTAACTGCTCACGTGATATATTACACGTTAAATCGGGCACGATACTTGACATCATTCCTGCTATTTTTAATGGTCATGTGTGATCAGATAAAATCACAGACTACATCTAATGTTTGTCAAATTTCCCATACAAGCATATTAAATAAGTTTAGCCACTTTCCTGAAGTTTGTTTATTCTACTTAGTCGATATATTGAATCTGATTAAGTCTTTAAACGTCGTGCTAGTTCATCCTGTTTTGAGTAATACCTCCAGTAGTGTTCCGATAAATTTCCCGAAAATCAATAACTCGGGAGTAATCCATCTCAACAGTGCGCTTAGCCGTTATTATTCTGACGTTATCATCCAGATCGATACCTTTTACGTCTGTTTGCGTAGACGAAAGGTGTGAATTGATTCAAAACAGTTTATAGTGCTCGGATCAAATTGACAACTGTTTATATAGCAAAGAATGCGCTTTTACAGGAGAATGTATGGTGTGTGATCCATTGAAGATAATATACAATGTCCAAACATAGAGAGAGAAACACTGCGCTCCGTTGGCAGGTAAGTAATACAATGTACACTACAATCGCTTGTTTTTTTTTTTTTTTTTGATTTTTTGCTTTTTTTTATTTGTCAATAGAGAAAACGTTTTGCAGCTGTATTATATATGAAATAATTCATTATTGTCTTATTTTAAGTAAGTTGTCGCCGTATCATTAACTGAATCGGCTAAGTGAATGTACAACTAAAGTTGGTCTTCTCACTAACTTAATTAACTACATGTATGTACAACTAAAGTTCTTATAGTACTTTCAGGTATGTTTTAAGAGTTGTTTGTAAAAATTCAGGTAGCCCCTATGAACATTTGGCATAAAATGTACGGCAATTTAGCACAGATACAATCTGTGAAACAATTTGTCGAAAAACTTCAAAATATTTGAACATCGATTTTATCATTTTGTGCAATTACCACGAACTGGTTTGAAAAATGAAAATAATTCATAAAGCCTTTGTCCATAAGTGTTATACACAGCTTGATATTATACGCGACATCTCAATATCTAAAAAAAATGAAAGAAAAAATACGAATCAAAACAAACCATTCACGATTTTCAAAATCGAGAGAAGAATTTCAGAGTTTAGGCCCTCAACATCACTGACGAGTCCTAAAAGGACGACTCAGTTGTTTAATGTAGCATCACTGACGAGTCATAGAAGGATGAAACAGCTGTATGATGTAGCATCACTGACGAGTCCTAGAAGGACGAAACAGCTGTATGATGCAACATCACTGACGAGTCCTAGAAGGACGAAACAGCTGTATGATGTAGCATCACTGACCAGTCCTAGAAGGACGAAACAGCTGTATGATGTAACATCACTGACGAGTCCTAGAAGGACAAATCAGTTGTATGATGTAGCATCACTGACGAGTCCTAGAAGGACGAATCAGCTGTATGATGTAGCATCACTGACGAGTTCTAGAAGGACGAAACAGCTGTATGATGTAACATCATTGACGAGTCCTAGAAGGACGAAACAGCTGTATGATGTAACATCATTGACGAGTCCTAGAAGGACAAATCAGTTGTATGATGTAGCATTACTGACGAGTCCTAGAAGGACGAATCAGCTGTATGATGTAGCATCACTGACGAGTCCTAGAAGGACGATACAGCTGTATGATGTAGCATCACTGACGAGTTCTAGAAGGACGAATCAGCTGTATGATGTAGCATCGCTGACGTGTCCTAGAAGGACGAATCAGCTGTATCAAATTGCTCAGTTCATTTGTTTTCACTAATGTATATATTTGTTCAAAGTGTCATTATTTTGTGTCTTTTGTACAATCCTCATGTTTCACAATTATGTAAACGCGGCTTAGGTATAATAGATTATTGCTTGTGCCCAGGTTCAGTCAAGCACAGAGATTATATTCCGAGTTCGCATTCTGACCATACCAAGTGGTCTTTTGACATTGTCTTCA